TGGAAGATGGCGGACACAGGTACTCGTTTTAGACATCAGAGCATTTGCACGAGTACGAGTACCCATGCAAATACTCGGTATCGCGGCCGATACCGATGCTTGTATCGGTATCGGTGCATCCCTACCCGTTACCAGCGAGATTTGCTGGAAAATGTGCTTCCAGAAACTTGTAAGGCTCCTACAGGACCAAAGAATATTGTGTAAGCTGCCAGTTTGGCCGCAGTCTCTCCAGCACGTCGATAGGGAAGATGGGTACACTGTTGTGTTGAGAAGGTCATTTGTAGTTCATCTTCCCCGTCGCTGGAGAGATCTGAATTTTGTAAATTCTAGTTTCTTGTGCAGTATGGTATAAAACAATGATATGCCTTTGAGTCCCAAATTCTGCAAGAAATAAAAGTTTCAAGCAGATTGAGGAATTTCACATGTGGTAGAAGTAAAATTTTGAAGCAAGTGTGAGATTTGGCAGTATAAATACACATATTCCTCCAGAAGACCATATTCCTTTTGGAGCACATGAAACTTTTTCAAACGGGGGCCCACATACAGATTGTGTAGGAAATCAACGCCCTTGAGCGACCAAGTGGATAACCGAATCAGGAATCAACAGTTCCAGGGCTTTAATTGAAATGTTGATGGTGCTGTGTGGGCCACTGCTTCCCACATTAGTGCGCAGATGGTGTCGTGCCTCCAAAGTCGCTCTGGACATAGGCGACATCTGATCCACCAATGATGTAGGCAGTTCTCTGTATAGTAAGTAAATACAGGGATTACCTCTAGGGAGAAAGGAAGCTTCCACTCCGCACCATAATTTGGCATGTAGCGGGTTCTGCCAAGCCTTCAATTGGTCGAGCAGGACAGCCAAATAGTAGTCCTTCATATCCGGGTAACCCAGACCCCCCACGTTTCCATGTTTAATTAAAACCAAATGGGAGCATATGGGTTTTTTCCCTTGCCAAAAATATCTACGAATAATACCGTGTAATGTTTTAAAAAAGCTGCTGGGAATGGGGATTGGCAAAGTTCTACAGGAGGTAGAGGATTTGAGGAAGGGCCATCATTTTAAAAAGGAGGCCAGTCTTGCAGACCAGGACAGAGTGTCTCTACCAATACGGTTTAAGAAGGATTGTAGTGGACCCAAGAAGGGTATATAGTTGCAAATATATAACGTGGATATGGAATTTGTTTGTGAAATACCAAAATAGGAAATGCCATTGTCACACCACTGAAAGGGAAACCGAGACCGTAACAATAGACTACCAGCTGCCAATACTCCTAAATCCAGAATCTGGGACTTTGAATTGTTAATCTTATAGTACGATACATCGCTAAAGGATTCTAGCACTTCAGATACCAAAGCCAGGGAAGTCACCGGGTTCGAGAGTAGCATAAAAACATCTGCAAATAGACTGATTTTGTGGGGGTTTTGGTGAAACTCAAACCCCGAGATCAACATCACATAGAACTGTATAACCCTGTCGGAGCTTGGACAACTTCTTAAAAATTTTGTGTAGGAATCGGATCTGGTGCGAGTTGGGCGCGTAGAGCCCAATGGTGTACACGGACGAGTTGATATTACACGCCAATACGAGGTGGCGTCCATTGGGGTCGCTATAGGCAGGGGCGTATATGCCGGGAGGCAAACAAGGTGTTTGCCTCGGGCGGCAGATTCCAGGTAGGTGACAAAAATGCCCCCCTAAAACATTTAGGCAGCCGGGCTGCACAGAAACCGGCAGCCTGGCTGCCTGTCAACAG